ATCGTTCAGCTTTGCCAGAAATGTGGCGATCGCAGCAATAGTTTTCAAATGAGTTCTCAAAATGTGTTTTATCGCATCATTAATTGACCACTTAACCTCGAGAGAAATCGCCTAAGGGATTTTCTTGTCAATTATCTCCCACAATCGCATGTTCCATATAACGACCTAAGAAGGCCATGTTCTTTGCCTACGCTGAGTAAACCGTAAGTCCCTTGGAACTAGTGCTATCCTTGATATCCATGTCGCAGCCTCTTTAGCTAAAAACCAGGGCAGGCTCAACAATGAAGACTGACCAACTGTCCCTGGCTGGCGAAAAACACCCAACAAACCCTTAAGTGTATCTGTTAGACGCACGTTGAGGGGCGTGAAAGGCCAGGGGGGCGCAGCTTGATGCAAGGCAGATATGGAAAGTTGAATGTTAAACACGTTAGCGTCCGTTTTGTAACCGAAGCTTTAGGTTCATTGGCGCCTTTAATGATGATAGATGTTTTTAGAAGAAGAGGAAGGATGAAAGTTAAAGTTTTTCTAAAAAGGCGATTATGTGACACTGGCAGGGGGGCGGTCTTACTGGCAGGCTCCGCACGGACATGAAGCCGTTGCTGAGGGCTGCCGGGACTTGAAGCCGTGGTCAGTGTGGGGCGCAACCTGGAAACGGGCTCGACCAATGAGAAGCTTTTCTGGCTGCAGGCGGGGACTGAACTAGCATCGTTTGGGGATGAACGGACGCCTGTCGAATACCCATCGACACGGAGAGGTGGCCTGATAGGGGTGGGGCCTGTGGTTGGGGGAGGGGCCTGTTGGCGGTGGGGCCGGGGCCTGCGGTCGTGGCTTCAGAGCTGGGGGGGGGCTCCGTGGGTGCATGGAGGAAGACGGGGTGAGGGCACTTTGGTCGGAAGGGCTTTGATTCGTCATCCTGGTTCTGGAGGCGGGGCTCTCTTCATCAGCAGGGGAGGGGCTTTGTGAACTCTGGAGGCGGGTCTGCTGCATGCTGGCTCTGCTCGAATGTCCCTGAAGCCGGGATCTCACAGCTGTCGGTGCGACGCCGCGAGCTCTCGTGCATCCGACTGGTGGCCACTACGGCCTTCATGGCAGCCTGTGACAGAAATACACTGTTTAGTAAAACACTGAACGTACTCTTCCAATATCAGAGTAACATGATACAAAAGGTATCCCAACAGTAGCTGTGAACATGACAGGATGTCTGATCAGGACTGTTTGAGGCATATGATAGCTATGTGATTAACATGATGATTCAGCCTCTATGGAGAGAGACATATGACAAGCATGATCATTTCTGACGTGGAGCTAATCTGAAGTAAACATTGAATACTGCTTTATATTCCTCCATCTTGTGACTGCGTAACTCCCTCTCTTGGATATCAGCATGTGAAGGACACTGTTCAGGAACTAGTTGATGCTCTGTATGTGATGACTACTTCCATTCTGGAGAGGATCACAGATACATGGATCCTGAGATTCAAGCTCAAGCCGGGACCAGGGAGATGTTTCTAACACTTAGGTACTGTTCTTATAAAAAGGTAATGACACAATGAAGTTTTGTTCTGATTAGAGAATCCTAATCCTGAGACAACAGAGGGTCAATGTGTTGACAACTTTTCTACTTTAATCAGAAAACTTAGCCATGGATCTATTTGTAAACCTATCCTATCCGAGACACCTAGCTCAGGATGAGTGTTTTGCATTCATATGTAACACCCTGTGAGTCACGAGGAGTTGTTAAGAAGTCATGCCTTTACTCACAACCTTCACGTGACTCAGTCCTGAAGCGAGCATGACAGGCAAGAGAGCAAACAGGAGGGAAATGACACGTGTCAGGGAGGCGTGTGGACTAGTGCGTTGGTGTTGGGATCAGGGGGTCACAGGTTCAAACCCCACTGCAGTCAGCATGTCGTTGTGTCCCTGAGACACTTCACCCCAAAGTGCTCCTGTGGGGATTGTCCACGGTATTGAGTATGTAAGTTGCTTTGGACAAAAGCATCTAACAAGTGAAATGTCATGTAGTGTAATGTGTCTATATGTCTGTGTCTTCATTAACAGATATTCAGAGTAACAACCCTCCCCATTAACATGTGTGGCAGTACACTGACTGATGGTCCTGGTTATAAACTCAAAGCAACAGTGGCATTTTATTGTGTTACAAAACCAGAATACTTAAACACTAGTCTAGGTATTCCCTTTTATCTGAATACAAATGGGACTGAGACCAATAGAGGTGGGAGTAAAAGTACTAATAATGCAACGTAAAAATACACAGTTACAAGAAAGAGTTTGGTGTTTAAGTAAAAGTATTGAAGATGTAATGTTTTTACACAAAAAGTATTTAAACAACTTGTTAAATTGCTGCCATCTTTTTGTCAACCCATTCATTACTTAAATATTATTTTGGATAGTTGAATCTACATCCAAACCTCTTATTTTAAAAGTCCACTAAGTACTCCACTACAACTCAGGGGTAAATGGTGTACTTCTACTCCACTAGTATTCCTACACTCTGGTACTTCTACTTTTACTCAAGTACAAGATCTGAGTACTTCTACTTTTACTCAAGTACAAGATCTGAGTACTTCTACTTTTACTCAAGTACAAGATCTGAGTACTTCTACTTTTACTCAAGTACAAGATCTGAGTACTTCTACTTTTACTACAAGATCTGAGTACTTCTACTTTTACTCAAGTACAAGATCTGAGTACTTTTACTTTTACTCAAGAACAAGTTCTGAGTACTTCTACTTTTACTTAAGTACAAGCTCTGAGTACTTCTACTTTTACTCAAGAACAATATCTGAGTATTTCTACTTTTACTACAGGATCTGAGTACTTCTACTTTTACTCAAGTACAAGAGCTGGGTACTTCTACTTTTACTCAAGTATAAGACGTGAGTACTTCTCCCACCTCCGACTACAATCCTTGAGTAAATGTACTCAGGTACTTCCCCCCACTGGAGACCAATACCTATATCCAAGAGAAGCTAAAATTATGTACCGTTAAACTACTAACGTTATTGAATTCATACACGGAAGTAAGGCTTTCCTCACTGTCAAGATAAGCTGACGTCAGATACTTTGGGTCAAAGTTGTGACTTGAACTGAAACCGCTAATATTAAATGAAACAACTTTCTTATTTAGTCAAAAGATGTGAGAGAGACTTACTTCCGAGATTAGCCTCCATTGCCAGCTTGTTTACAAACTCAAGTTGACATCCAGAAAGTCTACAAAGAGCTTCTTATAAGACTTCCACAGCGCGTAAAGGTCCTGTGTTGCTCTCGGTGTAAAACCATCCAATTCAGGCATTTAGAGCTCAGAAAGTTTGTCAACGAAAGTATTTTTAAATGTCAAACCCGTCAAAAAGAAGGTGAACTCATCAGCGACCAATCGGCATAATAATAAAGGTTGTTTGTAAAGGTTTAAGTAACATAAACACACTTATTGGAAAGCTATTCGGTCATTTCCACTAAAGCATAAACAAGCCGTGTCGAAACCAACATGGCAACATTTCTTCTTCGCTTGCAGAGTGGAGCGTTATTTTGCTGTTTCTTGCTCAGTGCTGCCACCTGTGGTTGAACGCTATACTATAAAAGCCCCCTCGATGCTACTGGTTTCCCAACGCAAGATGAAGAAGAAGCACCTTGCCATCTTTGACTTGAAATGGTTTGTATTGATTTGAACTGTATCCACCCTCACTGAAGTGAAGTAAATCGTGATTATATTCCTTTTACACCAACCTGACATTGCCTCTCTGTCGGCGGATAGCTCACTGAGAAGCCTACCTTCAATTCAGCAACTTCATATCGTCTATGTTATTTTATTATTTATTTATTTTTTGAACACTTAAAACAGCTGGGTTCACACTGAAGCTACAACTGGACCTGAACTTGGGATATTGAAATTCTAGCTTTTAATGTTTAAAAAACAGTGATGGAAAGTCACTAAGAATATTTACTCAAGTATTCTGCTTAAGTCTTTTTGTTGACATTTGTACTTTACTTAAGTATTTCGTTTTAATACAACTTTATACTTTTACTGCACTACATTTCAGAGGCAAATATTTTACTTTTGTATCCACTACACTTGTTTTAAAACTCACAACAACTGTGTACATATAAAACACATTACATGCTGATATGGTATAATTATAGACGGTGTACAGTCTATATATTAAATGCAGTACTGTACTACTAACCTACACAGTGGTTCAAGTATCTAAGTTAGGTTCACATTGACAAACTACAATATTAAAATGCTGTTACTTCGATAAAAACAGGAGACCATAATCATAATAAAATACATTCTGCAAAACGAGTACTTTTAATACTTGAAATACACTTATCTGATGATTCTTCTCTACTTATTATTCTGAAATTGTGTCTGTTTAATTACTTTAAGTACAATTTAATGCTAATGTTTATGTACTTGAGTAACATTTAGCATTCAGGACTTTTAATTGCAATGGAGTATTTTAAGACCATAGTATTTGTACTTTTACTGGAGTAAAGGATCTTAGTACTTCTTCCAAAAGTGCTGTATTGATGAATAATACATTATAAGAGTAGGCCTACTAGATGAAACAACAACTAATGGCATTTTAACTTTCGAAGTGAAACTGGAGAAATTAACTGTGTCAAGGCTAAGACTATTACTCCCTGTCCAGGAATTAGTCACCCAATACACACAAACATAACCATGATTAATCTACCTTTAGCTGCTAACTAACAAACAGACAGTAAGTTGTTGTTTTCTAAACATCTAATAAATACTAAAAACAACCTCGACTTATCAATGATCGTTTTTAAGTTACTAATTTTGCCTAAAACATGATGTCTGCAACACATTCCTGCCTCTGACTTCAGAATGACTTATTTAACAACGTCTCGCTCCAGGGATTAGTCGGAGCCGCTAACTCCGGACAGTTGACGTTAGCCGACAGGAAAGTCATGAATTAACTTAGCTATTTTCTTCTTAAAAGAGGCAAAATACATACCTGTAATGAAAGGAACCGATGTATCTAGATGTCCAGATTCATGTTGCCGTCCTCATGATAATAAAATGATCATACAATCCAAACTTCTTCAGACTTCTTCTTCAGTTTCAGCTGTTTGCTAACGTTAGCATTAGCCGGCTAACGTTAGCAAACCAATGTTAGCTAACTAAGATAGCAACTTTTTCTAACGACATTCATCCATTGTTGTCGTGTCGGTGTGTGTCTGTGTAACAAAGTATCCAGATCCGCTTTGAGGTCCCTAAAGAGAAACGCCGCTCCCCGCCTCTGAGGTCTCTTTCCCGGGTTACTATGTTGATGTTTCTCAGAGAAACTGCTGGGTATCCAAGACGGGTCGGTAACCGAGGCCGAAATATCGCGAGAGTTTGACCACGTCGTCAACGCTCAGAAAGCCCCACCCCGTAAAATACACACACACTGGCCCTTTCTCATTTCTCTGATTTCCCCTCCTCGACTCCCCTCCTCGACTCGTTTCCTCGTGTCTTAGTCCCGCCCACAGGAGATGCGAGCGGAGGAGTCGAGGAGGGGAACCGAGGAGAGAGGAGGGGAAGCAACAGGCGGTTAGAGAAAAGAGAAATCCTCCATTAATGATGACATCCTCCATTAATGATGACAGGAGGCACAGCAGCACTGTCTGATGGACAGAACTGTGTTCATGATGACTTATATATTTACTTTTAATTCATTGACAGTGCGGTATAATGAGACAATAACAGGCTACAGATGCGGACATACACACACACACACACACACACACACACACACATATATTTATATATATATTTATATAAATATATACAATTTCAGATTTGACAGCACTCTCATAATAATGTAACACAATCAGAGACTGGATATAGAGGAAATGAAATTACGGGCCAAAAGTTTCATTTACAAGTATTAAAAGTAAGCATAGGACACCAAACCAACTGAGACCTGTCTGTCCGCCGCATTTACGCCTTGTAGCCTACAACACGCACCTACACACTGTACAACACACACCTAGCTACTAAAGCATATCATATCAGGATACAGCTGTTGTGTATTTTATTATGTGAAGCACTAAATGGTTTTCGAAAAATATTGAGTCTTTGTTTGTAGAGTAATGTAGGCAGGGCCGTCCCTCCCTACAGGCCGATCATGCAGGCTGTATGGGGCCTCACATTGTGCAGGGGGCCTCGGCTTATGAGCTTGGCTTGTGCGCAGTTCTCAGCGCAGTTCTCGGTGCAATATATGTACAGGAGGAAGAGTGATAAACTGTCTGTCTAGTTGGCTTACAAGACAGTTAAAGTTTACAGCCTACAAAACATGGAGCATTTTTTCCCCTTTTATTCATTTTTATGTCAATTTGCACATTTCATGGTGATGCTCAGCCTCCCCCTTAACTCCTAACAGTCATCATCATGTCAACACAACACAGAGAAACACTGATAGAAATGTGTGTAGTTGTTGATACATTAGGCGCGTTCACACCGGAGTACTTTTCCCCGTACTTTTCCCGTTTAGTTCCATTAGTGCCTGGAATTTTGCGTTCACACCAAAAAGAGAACTTAGTTCAGAGAACTTTTACCCCCTTTTTAGTGACTGCTAGAGAGGTGGGACTATCCTGGGGAGAAAAAAGTACCAATTTCGATTGGCTGGGCGAATTGCAAACCACGCCAGTTCCCGGCAGGGACCTAGGTTGGAACCCCGGGGTTCGGGCTGTTAAGCCACTACTATATCTCGGGACGGGGGGGTGCGAGTGGGGGCGTGGTCCGTTCGACTTTTGATTATACTCGTCTTTTTTTTCTAATCGTTTGAGTATACGTAAAGACGACTGATCCATATGTCACAATTTTAGTTTTGTGTCAGCATGGATTTTGTCAAATTTTTGCCACTCGCAGTTGGTAATCACGTTTTTACACGTCATACGTTAGCAAGTCGTAAGCTATACCACAATGTAGCCATACTGTATGCGAGACGTAGGAGAGGATCGCTGTACACTCTACTCGTGGAGTGTTTTTGCTGTCTCACTTATTACAAAACCTTTGTTTCATGAAACGTTTATGATATAAGGCACAAATAATAGACAATAGTTGTGTCAATGTAAATAGTGCCTCTATTTACCTTTTATATGTACATACAGAAATGATCATACGTATATGTCCACTGATGCAGACGGTAAAGGACATTTAAGTATCGGATGTCTGTTCTGTGTTAGTACGAATACTGTGCATTGGGAATATTAGTCTTAGTTTAGGTTTTTATATTATGATATAAGTATTGAAATATACTCAACATTATATCAGTTCTGTTTGACGAATACTGTACGAGTTTATGCCTCCTAAGATTTTAGACATAACGTTCATCAGTGAAACGGATCAATCCAACTGGGAATCGCTCTGGTCGGTGAATATCAGTTTGGTTTCGGGCACTCTTTGGGATTTCATATTCTGAGGGTCCAGACTCGAGTGTGGTCTTATCGAAGGTGACTCCCGTTCAATCCGCGTTACTTTCGTCGTACTGCTAGGTAAAGAGTATTAGAAGATGATGATAACCCAATGAATGGCCGTCCGTTGCGTTTGGTGGTGAAGTGCAGCATATTGACGGTGGACTTCAAGGGGGCCGGCCTTCAGGGGCCTCACCCCTTGACCGAAGTCATCTTCGACGACCCTGGAGGGTCGTCGAAGATGACTTCGGAAGGCTTCATTTAGCGGTCTTTGCGGCTGTGGAGTGGGGTGGCGAGGTACAAACAAAAAAACAACGGTATTCAATAAGAGAGAGGCAACCAACGCGTCTCGATTACGATTATTACGATTAACGGTCGTTTATGTTACCGCCGAAAGGTGTTTTGAAAAGTCT